ATGACTCACTGTAAAAACAGTAAGATTGAAAAAAACATTGTCTTAAGGATGAGTCATTTTGATGGCTATTGAACTTTCTTTCAACTAAATTTTCTTTTGAATATAAAACAGACGTATAAGAATTCGGTGTGTAAGTTCGCCATAGAACACATTTCCCCGAGATAGCACTTTCTCAATTTACTGACGATTGAAGCCGGACATCATTCATTCAAAACAAAATATTCATCAGTGCCATTCATATGCATACAGTGTACAGGTATATTCATATATAAATGACGGACCTCTAAAAAGAAAACTGCACTGGAGCCAGATGTGACAATAATATTTGAAAGCTTTATTCACCAAAGCCGACCAAACAGTCTAATATATTAAAGTGAAGGTATTAGTCAACGATAACTTCTATGACACGTAATTTATAAATAGCACATGGATGGCGTGTGCTAATTCACAACGAATAACATGACGCCCAAAATATGTTCATCATTGCAAAAATAGTAATACAAAATTAAATGTGCGACAGGCTAAGATGGCGTCCCACATGAGAACTACCATATTAATTTTAGGGGGTATCATATTGATAGCCCCTGCCTGTGGAATTATGAAAGGTAGGTATATATCGATACGTATATATATGATAAATGCTATAATGTTTTTAGTGTGCTGCACCTTTTTGAGTGAACACTTTTTTGCATTGGATTCACCAATCTCATTCCTGTGCTCTTGTTAGACCCCACATCGAAAGGAATATGCTGTAGCAAAATCTGATACACAAAAATTGGATTTCTGTAATTAATAGTTATGCAGTACTGCTGAGGTACAGCTATTACTTATGTTAACTCGTTTCTTAATCTTTCAATCCAAAGTGACACAGCAGGTAATTAATTATTTTACTTGAAGTTTCTTTGGTATTTATATATTCCACATGTAAATATTATATGTGGGTGAGAATTTTATGACATAAAGTATGGGCGTTTTTGTGAGTTTACGAGTATATGTGCGTTAGAGTAGTTGCGTGATTGTACGTACGTCGGTTGGTAAGGGAAGTCATGTCGGGTTGGGGGGGGGGTAGAAGCATATCGTCTAATCACCATAAACTGTCATTTCATCACATCATTTCATTTCAGAATTAGTGTCAGAAAATGTACCATCTTTGCAAACAATAGACGAAGGCGATTCGTTTTCAATTTGGTGCAATTTCTCTACGTCGCCTTTCCCTGGGTTTACTGTCATCTGGAAGAAAATTAACCCGCTGAACGGTAGAGATATGTGGCCCATCTACATGTTACGGTCAACTGTAGTGAATATAACTAAACCTATGAGTGTTTTTATCGGAAGAAACATTTCAGAGACATGTACTAAGGCTGTGCCATACATGTATCTAATCACCATTAACTGTCTGATACGAATATCTAATGCCAGCTACTGGGACGGAGGCAACTACACATGTTCTGTTATGTTCATTGACCAAGGCAGTTTTAGCACGTCAGATGAATATCAGACTGTTCGAGTAATAGGTAAATGACATCAATTACGATTGTATTTGACAAACGAAAGTGACTTTTATAGTTTATTTTGGAAGGTTTATAGACAGAATGTAACACAACCCAAATAATATTTGTGTACACACGTTTGACAACATATATGTTCATAAGTGCAGACGATACTGTCAGTATTTTATTTATATTGTATAAATGAATCAATATTCGTTACGAATGAATCAGATATATAAACCATTTGTAGCAGGCTTAGCCAAGACCTAATTCAGTAATAAGTTCTGATGAAAAACATGTATACACGTTCCTTTTTGGTCAAGGTTTGTTTTCCTTTTAATCAATGCACCAAATTTTATAAATTACGTTTTCCAGTTCCTCCTACCTCAGTCCACATTTCTCAGAAGGCCGCCACTTCAACCTATATAACCTTAGAGTGTGTCACAAGCTACTTGTACCCCGGGGAACATCCCGCCCACGACACATTGTGGTACAGGGATGGGAAACAGTTCCACGTCACCCTTGCCAAAGACATCAAATGCAACATCTTAAACTCAAGTCTATGCCAAAGTTTTACCGCCAAGATTAATGTGACAAAGTTTTCAAATAAAAGACACTATCAATGTGGATCATCAGAAATCCGAAGTGAAGTATTTCTTTCTACCCACAGTGATGAATCAAGTAAGTTGAGATTCGCTACTTCATGCGTTTTAAACTGAACAATTTTAATATCCAGAAATGGGCAAACTACCTAGTCGAGGTTTTCCGCCTTGTCATATGCTAGTATAGAAGTAAAAATGTTGTTATTGTACTGTATATAAAGGTCATGCTTTTGTTAACTCACCAAATTGTTAGTAAAATACGTGTCTATCTGGTAAGAACAAAATGGCTTTTATTTTATCGGTCTTTTTATTTTCATACAGTTAATTCGACGGATATTCCAAAACCAACCAAATGGATCAGAATTGTTCCAGGGAGCCAAGTGAACTCTGAATATTTTCATTTTTGGTACATATTGCTGTTTGTTATCGCTCTTTTGCTTGGACCTCTTATCACTTTTATCATCGTATACAACTGAAGAAAAAAGGCTTATAGAGGTATAGACATTCTTCTTATTTTTCTCTGATCTAATTTATCTCTCCTCTCATCGGCTCATTTTAACCTAATCGTACAATGTATCTATATCAGATATACAACACATTTTCAAACAATATATGGGCCGTTTTAATAAGCTGTGTAAAAAGGTAGAAAGATAATTTTAAAAAAATACAAATTGGTAAATTGTTATTATAATTTTGCAATAATTGATTCAATAAACTCAAACTAGTATATGTTTACAATCAATTTAATTTTAAAACATATGGACCCATACTTCCAGTGTATGAAATTCAAGGAAATTACTAGCCAGACCACCGGGCAGGTAACTCTGAAAAGTTACCAGCCCAGCCATGTAGTTACCTGCCCTAGTTATGATAACCCCTAGAGTTAAAGGAGGTATGCTGAGGGGGTCTAGAATGCATTCTTGNTGCCTCGTTTCAAATTGTCTTTCAACTTGATATCACACAGATGGAACTTTGAAAACGAGGCCACTGAGAGGGAGACTGTTGGTTACATTTCGATACGAGCGTTCGATTGCAAGCTATGGTTAGTTCTTTAATTGCTTCTATGAAAGTGGGTGAAAACAGTGAGTTGATTTGATATTTTGCTGAAATCGCTTGTGAACATAGACAAAATAAAAGGTGAATATAGGCTGTAAAAATAGCCAGCCCGTCGGGCGGGTAATTTGTAAATCTTACCCGCCCGGCCTGAAAGTTACCAGCCTCGGGCTGGCGGGCTGGCGGCCATTTCATACACTGAATACTTCACACCACGAAATTATAGGAGACTAGATTAAGTGTCACATTTACTCAACATCCATTTTAAATGAGTCCTAAAAGTTGATCGCCATACAGATCATTTGTTTATTTAGCAGAACATTTGTCAAGGTTAAACACTCGGACAAACAGCCGAAGAAGTGATGTAAGTATTAGTGTTTTTGGCATGTCTGATGTTAAGGAATTCTCGAATAATTGACGCATGTTGCCTACATATCCCATACTACATACTGTTACGTGAATAACTCGAAAGAAGCACACGTTAAGCCTCGGTGCCATTTCATACGGTTTAGAACTAGATAGTCAAAATTATAATTTTAATAAATTATAATATATTTTTTCAGAAACCGAAAGGGGGGTCAGTACCCCCCCTGCCCCCCCCCCCCCCCCCCCCCCGACTTACTAACTTATTTACCCGAAAATAACGCTATATTTGAATGTTTAGCACTATCAGGCAAGAAAGAAAAGGAGAAGACCACCGTACCAGGACCCAGAAGACGTGGAACTACAAGGGGTAAACCATTAAATATGCTACTAATCAGTCATTTTACACACCGTAATTAACTCGCGAGTGTTACAGATGTAATGTACAACGGACTAATATTTCATCATGTTCCATTGCGCTATAACCGCTGAACTTTGAATAAACTATTATTTCCCTGTGTACAGTTAGTTGTTATTTATCTTCAATCTGCCAACTGCCAACTGGTCATTTAGATTCTTAAAATGGCCATACACTGTTTCTAAATGAAAGTCAACTGTTTTTGTCATTTTGTTTACGTATTTTTGCCCAAGCTGGAACCTCCGGTACATGACGCTGGCAACCCTGCAAGTACTGAAAACACCTCGTCGGAGCCAGTCGCTGGGGAAATCTCAATCCAGGAGCTCCAGTTCGATCGTTCCTGCAAACTGGGCGAGGGTCAGTTCGGAGAGGTATGGAAAGGCTACATGGAGGTCGAAGAAAAAGTGAAAACTGTGGCCGTTAAAATTTTGAAAGGTAAATGAGACGCTTTGGTGTAGAAAATATTTTTTTCCAGGATGACATAACAGTTATAACATGTCTTGACTTTTTTGTTTTGAAAACCTAAAATCGTACTGCAGTTGAAAGATTATATTAAAAGTTATAGACTAGTATAAATGTACATGTATTTGACAAACATGCATCATGCCAATTGTTTTTAAATCCAATGTGAGATATAAATACAAAATTTAATGCATCGATTTCTTATGTGATTTTTTTAAATTGTCGTTTTAGGAAATACAATGTTCAAAGAAAAAGAAGATTTCAAAACAGAAATGGAGACACTGAAAAATGTACCGGCGCACAAAAACATTGTTCCTTTAATAGCTACATCCTCCAAAGAAGGTATTCCTGATAATTTTGTATGGTATTTGTTTTAGAAAACATAAATCACCCAATACTGTGTAGTGCCATTTGGGTTAGTACATGTATATTACTCTGGGCACATATATGTCATGTATCTTTCTCAGTTGAAATGTTAAAAATGGATAAACAGCAAACACACACTCACACACACACACGTTTTAAACTGTATGTACAGTTGTATACAACTGCACACTGTAGCTTTTAAATTTAAACGTACTCTTATCTCTCCCAGACCCTCTGTTTATCGTGATGGAGTACCAGACAATGGGCAGCCTGCAGCGAGTTTTATGGAATGGTCGGGGAAACACATACTACAGTAATATATACGGCTGTAGCAAGTTTACAGCACAACAGGTTCTTAGGTTTGCCTATGAGGTAGCTTGTGGGATGACACATATAGCGGAACTGGGGGTAAATTGCCACTTTTCGTTAATTTTTAAGAATCAAATTGTTTTAATGTCGTCTAGTAGGAAGATGTTTGGGTAACATTTCTATGGTTGGCATTTGGTACATTTAGTTGTTTTCTGGGAGGAAGCATTCCCAATCCAGCTAACATATTAAAATTTAGGCTCAGGCTATATAAGATTCAAATGGAAATTTTCCAAGGGGGACTAGTAGAATGTTTTGAGGACAAAATGCTTCTACTTACAATACTAGTTTAATGACTATACCTTTTAAATGAGAATAATGCATTTAAACGATATAATTAAAATTGAAAATACTTTCCATACATATTTGTTAGCTGTTAATTGATGAAATTCAACATGTGTCGTGATATTGTGATGACCTTTGATTATGTTAGCCGTGTTTTTATTATTTTTATAGTATCTCCACCGAGACCTGGCAACCCGCAATGTGCTCGTGGACGAACATTTCACTTGTAAGATATCAGATTTCGGTTTGGCGCGCGACGTTAGTCTGATTCGAGAATACGAGAGCCGGTCACAGGTACGTTGTACTGTACTACACAATTATATATACATAACATTCTTAGTTTTGCAAATACACCGGCTAATATGTCAGATTTATGTTACTGGATTAGCACCTAGAGTATATTATCATCATCTTTACTTAACTTTATAAATTAGTATTGAACTTGATTTAAAAAGATTCACAAGGTCAATGGAAACCTTGGACACGTAATGTGGTTTTTCATTCAATTTAGTTAAAGCATAAACGTTTTCAACAACCCCTGTGGTTTCATTAGGGATTCCTACCTCTCCGCTGGATGGCACTTGAATCAATCAAGGACAGCGTCTACACCACCCACAGCGATGTGTGGTCTTTTGGTATTCTTATGTGGGAGATAGTGACTTTGGGTATATATATATATCCTCTTTTTAAAGACTTAACAGCAAGTAGAGTAAATGTAAAAAATATGCTTTGCTCACAATTCTTTCTTTCTTTCAAAACAGTAATAAGTAAGTAAAAAGTATAATTGGTGAACTGCAAACAAGTATTCCTCAAAATGAATAGATAAAATACATGTACCCTGTAAGTATTCACATGAGTAGAATGTAATTGTCGTCTAAATAAAAATTCTGATTAACTGCCCAGGTTGCACTCCGTACCCAGGTATCTCCAGTATGATACTACGACAACAACTGGAGAATGGTTACCGTATGATGAGACCTAAACACTGTACACATGAGGTGTAAGTACCCATCTCTCTCTCGCGCACGCTCTCTCTCACTTTGTACTCCTTGTATTCTCTCTGTGTCTGTTAATGTCTTAAAGGACAAACAAACATTTAAATGTACCAAACTACCCTCCATCTTACTTTGTACCAGGTACCGCATCATGTACCGCTGTTGGAGAGAGCCACAGGCTTTTCGCCCTTCGTTCAAAGAGTTGTGCCAACAGTTGGAAGATCTGATCTTTAAGGCTCAGAACTATGTGGACTTGGTCAATATAGATGAAAGGCTTTTCAAGGGCCTAACACGATGTATTCCTGGTGAAAAATACTAGTTGCGAGCTAATTACTGGGTATTTTATCAAAAAGTGCAAATGGATTCTGGAAAATAACTACTGTATGATTTTTTCAGTTCAACAATCGGTGGTCATCGGGTGAAAGCAATTTACCTGACTTCCAATTTCAGTGGAATTCTTTTTGGATATAAGTGCCATTTTAAGTTTTGAGTTTTGTTGATTGTCTTTATTAACGATATCGTATACAGGTAATTTATTTTCATTTTGATCTTTGACGCTCACTGTATCATAGTCCACAACTTCAAACTGTTGCTGTATTTTTTTCTTTTGTATTTGTCCATTTGTATATTTTATCTTTAAATTTTCCTGTTGTATTTCTGTAAATTGATTTTTTCAATAAAATATCTTTAACTTATGCAAATTAAGCCTTCTGATTCAACTGATACATTGGCATTATTAGCAAGTGATGTCAAAAATAGCGTGGAACGATCGAAAAAAAACACTCCTTTGATGTGTCAAAGCTCTGCACATTTTTCTGTAGAAAAACTCATAAAAATCGTAAACAAAAAGCCGAGTACAAAAGTGCGGGTCAAACGTTATTGGTGGGTAAAAACAACTTTCAGACAGCCAATTTACTTTAATTTATGTTTAATTCCTCATTCTGATCTGTTCAAATTTAACCGTCACTAAGAACTCGGTGGTCAATATGTCATTTGTTGCTATATGTACAATTTATTCTCTATTAGCCCATGAGCTAGACGCCTGATTTTCGGTCATCGTGCGAAAAAAGGGACGAATTATCATAGTGATTTTTAGTAGGTCCGATAGCTCTAGTGTCCGAATAGGTGTGAAAACCTTCTCATACTGGTAGCTTTTTGTGTGCAATCACACCTTATATAACCCCACTCCTGCAGCAGCAAGGACTTTTTTCACATGGGGGGAGGGGAGAGAAAACGCTTACTATATCTGTATGATAACAGGTACATTAATTAATTGTACATCTTTATGGAAGCAGGGAATGGGACAATAAATTTCAAAAGTCACGAATGTATGACAATTAGTCAAGAGTCATTGATAATGGGTTGAAAGGCCTCATGAGGCCATTTATGGGGATTTGTCATAAATTAAACCAAAAAGTTTTATTTTTATTATTATTGTTTAAGTAAGAATATGGTATTTGATGAACGATTTCTAAACATGGTATAATCTTATGCTTATGAAAGAAATTTGGAGCCTCAGCTGTCTAATTTTAGAAAAAAAAATAAAAGAATGTAAACCAAACGCTCAAAATATGCCCTCTTGAAAGTGTGAGTAGGGGAGAAAAAATGCTTACTTCATCAATATGGTTAAAGTTGTCAGTGCATTATATATCCTTATGGGGGTAAGAAAAGAAACAATTAATTTCATAAACCATTTACGCATGACAACAAGTCAAGGGTCATTGATAATGGGTCAAAGGTCACAAGAGGTCATATTTTATGGATTTTTCATAAATTAAAACCAAAATCTTTTAAAAATTGAGAACAAAATTGGTATTTGGTGAATGATTTGTAAACATGGTATAGTTCCATACTTATGAACAAAATTTGGAGCCTCAACTGTTTTATTTTAGAAAATAATGTTACTAATTAAGTGTGTATCTTACGGTCAGAATATGCCCTTTTTGAAAGTGGGGGTAGGAGAGAGAAAATGCTCATCATTTAAAATAGCAGGAGATACAGGAACAAAATGCATACCTGTTTATTTATGCAGCTATGTTGAAAGAAGTCCACGAAGCACCTGTCGAGGTTTCTTAAAAGAAAAGAGACCTCTTTTCGTACAAAGGCCTTTATTTTTTATTTTACTTTCAACTTCAATAATGACTCACTGTAAAAAAGCAGAACAATTGAAAAACACATTGTCATAAGGATGAATCAATTTGATGGCTATTGAACTTTCTTTCAATCAAATATTTACAGATTTCATTTGAATCTAAAACTGGTGTACAAGAATTCGGTGTGTAAGTTCGCCATAGAACACATTTTCCCCCAGGTAGCACGTTCTCAATTTACTGACGATTGAAGCCGGACATCATTTATTTCAAAACAAAATATTCACCAATGACATTCATATGCATACAGTGTATATTCATATATAAATGACGGACCTCTAAAAAGAAAACTCCACTGGAGCCAGATGTGACAATAATATTTGAAAGCTTTATTCACCAAAGCCGACCAAACAGTCTAACATATTAAAGTGAAAGTATTAGTCAACGATAACTTCTATGACACGTAATTTATAAATAGTACATGGATGGCGTGTGCTAATTCACAACCAATAACATGATGCCCAAAATATGTTCATCATTGCAAAAACAGTAATACAAAATTAAATGTGCGACAGGCTAAGATGGCGTTCCACATGAGAACTACCATATTAATTTTAGGGGTTATCATATTGATAGCCCCTGCCTGTGGAATTATGGAAGGTAGGTATATATCGATTCGTATATATGATAAATGCTATAATGTTTTTAGTGTGATGCACCTTTTTGAGTGAACACTTTTTGGATTGGTGATATTCACCAATCTCATTCCTGTGCTCTTGTTAGACCCCACATCGAAAGGAATATGCTGTAGCAAAATCTGATACACAAAAATTGGATTTATGTAATTAATAGTTATGCAGTACTGCTGAGGTACAGCTATTACTTATGTTAACTCGTTTCTTAATCTTTTAATCCAAAGTGACACAGCAGGTAATTAATTATTTTACTTGAAGTTTCTTTGGTATTTATATATTCCACATGTAAATATTATATGTGGGTGAGAATTTTATGACATAAAGTATGGGCGTTTTTGTGAGTTTACGAGTATATGTGCGTGAGAGTAGTTGCGTGATTGTACGCACGTCGGTTGGTAAGGGAGGTCATGTCGGGTTGGGGGGGTAGAAGCATATCGTCTTATCACCATAAACTGTCATTTCATCACATCATTTCATTTCAGAATTAGTGTCAGAAAATGTACCCTCTTTGCAAACGATAGACGAAGGCGATTCGTTTTCAATTTGGTGCAATTTCTCCTTGTCGCCTTTCCCTGGATTTACTGTCATCTGGAAGAAAGTTAACCCGCTGAACGATACAGATATGCGACCCATCTACATGTTACGGATAGCTGGATGGAATATAGCTAAACCTTTGAATGATTTTATCGGAAGAAACATTTCAGAGACATGTACTATGAATGGGTCACATCCAATCACCATAAAATGTCTTATACAAATATCTAATGCCAACTACTGGGACGGGGGCAACTACACGTGTTCTATTAGACCCCTTGGCCAAGGCAGTTCTACCACATCGATGGCATATCAGACTGTTCGGGTGCTAGGTAAATGGCAAAAGATTACGATCACAGTGTATTTGACAAACGATCGAAAGTGACTTTTATAGTTTATTTTGGAAGGTTTATAGACAGTATATAACACAACCCAAAAAATATTTGAGTACACACGTTTGACAATATATATGTTTATAAGTGCAGACGATACTGTCAGTATTTTATTTATATTGTATAAATGAATCAATATTCGTAACGAATGAATCAGATATATAAACCATTTGTAGCAGGCTTAGCCAAGACCAAATTCAGTAATATAAGTTCTGATTAAAAACACGTAGATCGTTCCTTTTTGTTCAATGTTTGTTTTCCTTTTAATCAATGCACCAAATTTTAAAAAATACGTTTTCCAGTTCCCCCTACCTCAGTCCACATTTCTCAGAAGGCCGTAACTTCAACCAGTGTTATCTTAGAGTGTGTCACAAGCTACTTGTACCCTGGGAAACATCCCGCCCACGACATACGGTGGTATAACAATGGAAACCTGTCCCGCGTCACCCTTGCCAAAGACCTCAAATGCAACAGTTTAAACTCAAGTCTGTGTCAAACGTTTTCGGCCATGATTAATGAGCCAAAGGTTCCAAGTAAGAGATATCAGTGTGGTTCAGCAGACATTCGAAGCGAAGTATTTAGTTTTAACCAAAGTGATGATTCAAGTAAGTTGAGATACGCTATATACACTCTAACATTTTTGGTATCCAAAAGTAAGCAACCTAGTCGAGGTTTTCGTCTTGTCATTTGCTTGTAGACGAATAAACATGTTGTTATTGAATATAAAAGTCATGCCTTTGTAAACTCGCCAAATCGTAAATAAAATACATGTATATCTGCAAAGAACAAAATGACTTTCACTCTATCGGTCTTTTCTTTTTATGCAGTTTATTCCACAGGCATTCCAGAACCAACCAAATTGATCAGAATATTTCCAAAAAGCCAAGAAAACTCTGGGTATATTTCTTTTTGGTCCATACTGCCGTGCGTTGTTGCTCTTTTCCTGGGACTCCTTATCATTATAATAATCGTATACAACAGAAGGAAAAAATGCTCTAGAGGTACAGACATTCTTCTTATTTTTTTCTCTTATCTAATTTAAATCTCCTCTGATCTGTTTATTTTAACCTTATAGTATAATGCACGTTAATCCACGTCTTTTGTGAAGAAAACAAGATATGGACCCGTTTAATAAGTTGTGTATAAAGGTAAAAAGAAAAAATGGAAAAAATAAATTGAGGAAATAAATGTTACTATTTAGTAATTGGTTTGATAAAATCAAGCGGGTTAAATCATTCCGATCATTTATTTTATGCATCCATACCTCACTAAAAAAAAATGACCGGCGTCCAGCATATACGTGTACATCCAGGTGCGGATCCAGGATTATTTAAAGAGGGTCCGGTTTGGGGAATGGCAGGGCGCAGATTTGAACCCGACCCTACCCCCAAACCTCCTACGTGAGGTTCGGCCCTGGTGAAGCGCCCCAAAAATGTTTGGTATTTTGAAGGCGATTGGTGCCATTTGGAACGGCTTCGAACTATGATTCAGCTACTCAAAATTCTAATTTCAAGAGGAGACAGGTGCATTTTTTTCAGAAATCGAAGTGATTGTATCAAATTAAAGCACCATCCTTCCTTTAGTCGTACAAAATGACCCTCCTTAAAACTACGTCTGGTATTAAACAGATCACATGAATACGTATCGTTTGTTTTTAGCGGTTCACCTGCCAAGGCAAAATACTCCGACAAACAGACGCCGAAGACGTGATGTAAGTAATAGTGTTTTTTAATTAATTAGCATAAATATGTGCATTTTGTTAAAAACACCACCACACTTTCGACACAGGTAGGCATTTAAAATTTATTACAATTCCCAATTGCAAAAAGGGGGTGATAGGGATTGGCATTTTGGCCTAGATACCACTTGAACGTGGGGCCACTGTCACGTCCATATAAACTCTTACAAATGAAGTGCTTCCCACATTCGATATAATATTCGATTGATACAGTGTACATGTATACCATTGATTAGCGTTACTATCCTATCCGCCAGGCCGAAATATTACATAGGGTTGAATGTATCCCTATTTTACTTAGTTAATAATCTCTTCTTACTTTCGGATATGCATCACCAAAATCATTTAAGAAGTTCAAAAGATACCATTTGGACTAACAAATATAGTTTGAAACTTTTTTGTCTCTTCAATATAGTCAATTCATTTAGACAAAGTATGATTTGAATCTAGTTAAAGCCTTGGAGTTTCTTTTGACACATTTACAGGTTCGACGTCCTGGAAAGGCTTTAAATTTGCCTTTTATAAGATTTATAAATCGATTTAGAAATGGCAACACAGACGATTACCACACGTACGAAGTACCTGAGAGGGTAGAAGAGGTAATGACGGTATTTATATTAACTGAGGTTTTAAGTTTTATGATTACACAACTGTGTGATACTGATGAAATCTATTAATTATCTCTGTTTCACTTATGGTAAAATGCCAGTAATGAACACAATCTGTCTACTACAACTCTTTTCGATATGAAAGTAGATGCTGCAAGTATTTATACATTTTGACGTAAACGTTTGCAACGTAGTATTAAAAAATAATATATCAGTATGTGATTGGAATGGCCATAAAGGTTGCAGTATCCTTTAATTATTTTAATTTTCAGAACCAGCGAAACACACATATTGCTTTAAACGAATCAGCTCAAGAACTCAATCTCAACGACATAGAACTATTACAGAACATAGGGCATGGTCACTTTGGCGAGGTCTTCAAAGCCATTTTAAAAACCACCAATGCTGCCGTTGCTGTAAAGCTGTTGAAAGGTACGTTTTTGAGTAAATCTTTAAGTATGAGTTAGGTAATCAAATGTCCAGTCCATTTATGATATTTTTATCTATTTCTACCTTATTCCACACCTGGAAATAGCTATTGTCCATGATGTGCTCATTTATTTCAGAACAGTACACAGAAGTTGACAAAAGAGACTTCTTCAGAGAAATAGATACCATGCAGTTAGTGCCTCAGCACGAAAATGTGGTTGTCATGTTGGGATTTTGTAAATCAGCAGGTAAAGGCCTTTAAACCAGGTAAAAATAAACTGAACAGCTGTCCTTATAGCCTTATTAAAGGCCTTAATAACTTCTTATGATTATCATTTAACTGTAGGCCTATATCGCGATGGTTAAATGAGAAGACTACTAGAGATTCAAAACGAAGCGGATAACGAGGGTGTTCATGCAGTTGTTTATAGGTGTCCAACTTTTCCAGCCCGTGCGTTCCTTGTGTTAGAGTACCTTGGCAATGGTAACCTTAAGACATATCTCCATAAAAGCCGCAGTCACAACACCTATAGTAATCTGCATGGCGGAAGTAGTAAATTGACGTCACGGAATATATTGTCATATGCTCTAGATTCTGCCAAAGGAATGGCTCACATATCTAGATATAAGGTTGGTCAACTCTATGGCAGTTGCAGAATAGGCAGTGCAATAATGTGTGAAGTAATATAATGTTGATGTAATGATATGTGAATAAGATTAAGTACGATATACTAAGTGAACGCTTAAGCACAATATAGTTAATTGAAAAAGTGTGTAAAAAAGCTACTGTAAAATGAGACGAACTCATTTAGTATTTCTTAAAATCTATTCGAGAAAAAAAGAGAGGAATATATTATTTCACTCTTGAACAGCTTCCATCTATATATCCACGTACAAATAGCTGCACGCTTTCATTTCTCACTCACAGTTCCTGCACCGGGACCTGGCCGCCAGAAACATACTGGTCAGTGACGACATGGTGTGTAAGGTGTCCGACTTTGGTCTGGCTCGTGACGTCATTGACAGCAGGGAGTATCTCAGCAGAATGGAGGTAGGGATGCGGTACAAGTGGAATAATTTATATTTTAGAAACCAATACATATTAATATTAATTTGTATCATGGGCCCGGTACGTATGTTTGGTAGGTTATGATGCAGCATGAAATGGTGATGGAATCACACATGCGTTCAAACGATGTTTTACGAAAGCAGCACCAACCTCCAGTCAATCTATATTATTAACCGCCTCAACTTTGTGTACTAGTACTCTCTTTCTTTTATTGTGCGCACCAATGTTTATCATACAACTTTTGGAATTCGTATGAACTTAAGATGTGATTCTATTTACATTTTGATTGAAAATTTAGAAAAGAAAATCAATATCTTTAAATCATTATTATTACGCACCAGAGCCCTCTCCCTATCCGCTGGATGGCACCAGAATCCATTTCTGCCAGCGTGTATACCACTAAGAGTGATGTGTGGTCGTTTGGCGTTCTTCTCTGGGAGATTGTCACTTTAGGTATGATGCAAAAAATATTTGTCACTGTTTGTATTGTCTGAAACAATTATAAAACGTTTGTATACGGACGGGTGGATATCTCTGATTATTATTTTTCCATGCTGGAATATGATTGTTCAATCATACATGTGGTAAGGTTATAGTGCATATTATTTCATCTTTATTGGAAGATTCTTCTTTTTATTTGTTGTAGTAAGCACTACATTAAGTTTGGGGATAAATAACTAAATCAAAGAAAACGTTGTTATTTTTGGAAATAGAATGCCCCCTCCAACTTCCATTATTGGCAATGTCTTCTGGCCTTAACGAAATATTTATTTATATTTTCATAACTGCTGACGTATACAGGAGCTACCCCCTACCCTGGTATTACGTCTGGACGAGAACTAATACGTGAGATCAGGTCAGGATACAGAATGGAGAGACCTCAACACTGTACACAGGAACTGTAAGTGTAGTAACAGTTGATTGGTAATGTACAACTGTAGGTTAAATTCGAATTTACGGGCAGGGATAGTGCGAAATGATACGGAAAAAGAAATATTAAAAATGTATGTATGAATATGCACCTATTGTCTTGTACCGTAGGTGATATTTAACTGTCATTATTGCTGAACTAGCTTGTGCTACAAAATTATTTTGATAATATAATGCATATATAATTCAACCCACGAATATATGAACTATATGCGATTTTCCCTCGTCATTTCTCTTCTGGGGCAGAACATATGTCTGACCGGATAAACGGTATTAGAAAGTTTCTTTAAAACCCGATTGCCAAAAATGAAAACTGAAAAAATAATGATATTAATGGCCGTCTATGATGCGTAAGGCTGATATTATACTTACATGTTTAGGTACAATATGATGATGTTGTGTTGGGAGGAGGAACCGACAGAACGCCCGACGTTCGACAATCTTGTCACCAGTCTTAGAGACATGGCTAATGAAGAGATGAAAGTTCACGTGGACGTAGACAGAGCTGCTGAGGCCGTATACTGTGATATTGACAGCCAGCTGGTTGGGGAGATCGTTTAAAATGGAAATATCAATATTTTGACATCGCTAATGAAGAGATGAAACTTCACGTGGACGTAGACAGAGCTGCTGAGGCCGTATACTGTGATATTGACAGCCAGCTGGTTGGGGAGATCGTTTAATGTTGAAATACGGCATTAGATGCCTGTTAGTTAAATTCGACAAAAGCATTTAATTATTATTTCCCTATTGCGATCTGTTAGATAAATAAGTAGGAAAGGTGTTATAAAAGAGGGTTTGATGCATAAGATGTTTTGGCTAAATTACATTTGCCATGCCTGTATAACCCATTTCGTGTGGCGTCCGTCGAAACGGAAGATAGCAGTGCGAATGCAATCGAATGGATTCATGGCCTCCGTAGATTCTATGTTTTTTTAAACTAAATATTCGACATTTTTTAATCGAATTGGGCTGTGGAAATATCGTCGACGGCATTGCACAGTCCCAGTACTTGCATCTACATGATGGCTGAACCTGCAGCCTTTTCGAGAAACGGTGAATCACGGACACGTTGTTTTTTCTATAGCCATTGCTTTTCATTCCAGCAATTTGCATAATCACGAAGTCCACTGAATTGTTAACATCAAAATAAGACACTGATAGATTCTGTACCACGTACACTATGTTTTATACGCCACAAGTAGGATATAAATCACATGGATAACGGTAAACATCACAAATCGAATATGAAAATTGAATGTTTTCGCTGATATTAATAACTTGAATCGATGGATTTTGACAACGATTATACTTGTGTCTATGCAAATGATGTGAGTTTAGTATTTACTGTTATCTGCATTTTATCAAGTGCATATTTACGCTACCAAAAATAGTATCATAAATCTGCGCTCTTCATATTACTGTGATATTTTCACACGATCGTTTTTGCTACGTCTTTTAATCTATAAATAATTTTTCTTATTTTGATAGTGCGTAGAGTCCACTTTGGGATATCAGTACACTTTCATGTAGTTTTAGATACATTACATGCAGCTCGACATGATACTAGTAGATTGTTCACTATACATTTTTTCGGCTTACAATTCTTTTGATCAGTAAGTGTCTGTATATCTATATACTGTAACAGAATGGCGAGACCAGGAAATAAACCGGGGACGTGCACGTTTACCTAAATAAGAGCTAGGCATTTTTTTAATCTCAATGTCCAGCAAACCATAGTTTGGTCTTCAGCTATTGTTTTTGGCGAGAAGGTTTCTTTGTACATGTGAACCCCCACCTTTACACATGCACACTTTACCCATAAACCTTAGACAAATTGTAGACCCTGGACATTTTAAAAAGGAACATAAAACCTATCTTTTTAAGCAATATTATATTTTAATTTTTTTGTAAGAATACTTTTTACGAATAATTGAACTTAGTTCATAGTTTTAATTTTCACCTCTTACCCATTTTTCCCTTCAACATTTCTTCTATTATCATTTTCCTTCTATTCATCTTATGACCATACCGCTGTTGGAGAGAGCTACCTGCTTTTCGCCCATCGTTCAAAGAGTTATGTCTGTAAATTTATTTTGTATTTGTTCATTTGTATATTTTATCTTTAAATTTTCCTTTTGTATCTTCGTAAATTAATTTTTTTCAATAAAATATATCTACCTTTTATGCAAGCCTTCTGATCGTAATGATACATTGGTATTATTAACAAGTGATATCAAAAATTGCACGAAACGATCGGGAAAAATACTTCTTAGAGCTTTGCGCATTCTATAACTCATAACAATCGTAAACAGAAAGGCGAGAAAAAACGTGTAGTCCAAAGGTTATAGGTACGTAAAGCAACTTTCAGACAGCCAACTTACTTTAGTTTGCAACTTCAAATATTACCGACTCACTTAAAACTTGGTGTTCAATATGCTATTTGCAGGTACATATTATAATCAAACTATCAACAGCGCCACTCTACCTGTATTTGTTCCCCCAGGTAATTCAAACACACTGGGAGCTTAATCCACTTCAGCAACCAATGAAAACGCGTCTTCGTCACTTGTCGCGTGCCCTTATGAATAGTGAAGTCACGAGGTCACATTCCGCACTCTATGACCTTTTTGAACTATCGTCGAACAAATTATCACCAGTATCGGCTGCGGTAGAGAAGCCTGGATTTGAGGCGTTGAGACAAACACACTAGAAGGTTTCGTGGTCTACATTCATAACAAACTCCAGTTCGAAAAGTTGTCGTTCCATAAAAATGGGTCAAATTAAGGCTGCAAAAGCGTGACAATTTCCATCAGTTTAATTGGATTGAGAACGACAACCATAAAATTATATACCAAAATGAGGCTTTTCCTGCATCTGATTATTCAATAATACATCTTTCTTTGTGCTAAAATAATAAAGAATCCTCGAAAAATAAGATATCGACTTTTATATTTCTCGTTACAATGCATAGGGGAGACTGGGGCTAGTTGGACCTCGGGGTAAGTTGACCCCCCATCAAGTCCCTTTAATAAAGTTACTTTAAGATGCTAAATTATTTCATTTGGACTCACTGCCGACGCTTTCTTAGCACTATTGGATACGTTCACTTTACAAAATGATGTGATCAATTCTTTTACCCCATAGTTACTTTGTCATAAATTGATGGGG